TTACATGTTAAAAAATATCTGTTTACTGATATAGATAAATATAATAAAATACGAGGGACTCGTAAAGCTTAAGTACATACATATAAAGAAAGCATAGAAAATTATAAATCAAGCAAACTTAGAATGAAGGTAGCACAGAAAAGCAAGACGGAATAGGAAATCAAAACTGTGAAGAGAAAAATTAATTTAACAATCACAAGAGACGGAAAATAAAAAGGTAAAAGATGAAATATGAGATAGCATAAGCCATTTATGATATAAGAGCGAGTGAGATATAAAATAGAAAAATAATGAAGAAAATATAAGTGAAAATAAAAATTTTAGGCCATGCTAGATACTCGGAGGGATTATCTGATTTAAGAGGCGAAAAATATTGTCTAAAAATATGGAACGTATATCTAGATTGGACGAAAGAAACAGGTTTTGCTAGGCTTGAGTTAGAATCCGAATAAGACAAGTAAAAAGATCAAAAGAAAGATAAGGATTAGACGGTAAAGGAGTATCAAATGGATTGATGGCTGATTTCTTTGAGACCTTCAAGAATGATTTGGGAATAACATGCGCGCACTGTAGTAAGCAAGTAAGCAAAAAGGCTATTCGTGCGCAGACGATCGGGTAGAAGGGTTTCAATGAAGTCAAGTTCAGCGCCCAATTCGGCTACACCGGCACGAATCACGACCAAATGGATCAGTGGTAGAAGGCGATCAATGCTCAGCAAGTAATCTACGGAACCATAGGCGTTGGAGCGGCCATCGATCTCAGCAGACACAGACGCAGAGACTGGGGGAGCTGCGGAGATCGTAAGATTAGACTAATAAGATTAAAGAAAGAAAAAAGAAAGAAAAAGAGTATGAATAATGTCAAAAAAGAAGGTAAGCTAAAGTGGTTGAGTAATGGAGCTATGGAAGATAATATGAAGGGTGAGAAGAGTAGCAAAACAAGGGAATAATTCCAATGCTACTATAAATAAGATTAAAATAAACAAAGGATAAAAGATGAAGCAGAAATGCAAGTTTAGACAAAATATTATGGTATGGTCAGGCATATATAGATAATCCTTATCCGGCCCAGACAAATCTGGAAGTATTAAAGTGGTCTATTGTTTTCGCAACTTGATCGCAGTCCAGGGTTGGCCTTGTCCGAGGTTCTCTACTATAGTGGTTATGATAATTCCGAGCTTTGGAGCGTGAACTCAGTACATTCCTAAACGTTTCACTTGCATCTTAATCAGTAGCGTCAGTGATTTTTGCCACTTTTAACAAGGATAAGAGTGAAGTCAATTCCTTGACCAAGTTTCGAACATGATAAAGTTGCGAAAACGAGGTCAGATTACTTCTATACAGCGGAAGGAGACAGTGACCAGAATAGAGGTTATAACATTTTGGGCTTCATATCTATAAATATTGTTCCCAGTATATATTGTTAATGAGAAAGAATAATATTCTTTGATGGAGTATAATGGTCTTAATGTGGAATAAAATTGTTGGAATCAAGATAAGTTCAATTACATTTAGAGTGGAAATAGCACTGCGTAATACCATTTCTAGTATACACTGGCCTTAATTAAAAGCCTAATTAATACGCATAAAATAAATTCAAGAGTAGTATAAGGATAAAGCCAACTTAATCTCACGTTTTGCGGACAAATAGAAGACATTTTATTGCAAATTCTAACTGATCTTCTGAAATTGAAGTCCCAACTGTTGGATTGATCCGAGTTGTGGTGTGCACCCATCGAGTAACTGTGGGCACGCCGACGAGAAGCGAGATCAAAACGCAGAGTGAAAGACTGCGGTCTAGATAGTCGAAGTGGCTGAGAAGATAATTCTGGAGAGGGGGAGCTATTGGCGAGACCATTACCGTGAATGGGCTGACCAATACGAGATTTAATGGTCTAGATAAAGGTTAATGTAGACAAAATAAATCAGAGGATGAAAGCGATATATATGCAGAAAGGGTGGCCTGAGTTGTCATACATTTAGGCGTATAAAAACATGCACAAAAACGAATGATTATAGCTAAATACAATTGTGTCAAATCCGTGTTTGCTATTGTAGATTTAATACGCTATCTAAGATTCGTACAATAATTTCCACTATTGAAACATAAATCAGGTTAAAGTTCATCTAGGTCCCTTTGACAACACAACTAAATTGAGAAAAACATATCAAACCACTAGAATACAACGAAGGAAGACCAAAACCATAATAAAAGCCACATCGTTTTGGTCTTTACACCCTCTTTTTTATGCCTCCGGATCAAACCCTTTCACGCTAAATCTTTGATTCAGCGCCATCACAGGTTAAGCCAACTCTCCAATACACCAACAGATGTATCTCACAAGACTTGCAGAAGACCTCTCCCTCTCCAAACCGACGAAGCTGTTCTATTTGTCGCCTTGCTTACAACTTTTCAGGATTCCTAAAATTTGAAAGTGAATGTCTTTCGTAGCAAATTATGATTTTTTCTTTCGAGCTTATTCCATCACAAAAACTGATGTCACTTTGTTTGTTCTTAGCTAGTTTGTCTCCAATAGATTTCGATAAATACAAGCTATCCAGATCTAATTCTAGTTATCATTCTTTAAACAACTATTGCGGCTCCTCTGAGTTTGGCATATTGACCATTTTGATTTTTCATTACATTTTATGTGTTATTCCCTATTCTTCATTATAAAGGCTTGTAGTGGATTCGATAATATCCTCATTCGACGTGGTTCACTTAAGACTACGTTACTAAGTACAAAGTGCGTCGGCTGAACTAGGTTCCAAAATAAATAAATAGGCAAAGTGGCTTAATGATAAGAGAAATAAGATTTGCCTAAATCACACTATTTCCATACATATTCGCAGTAGATTAATGAGAGTAACTCATGAATTTTTACGAATGAACCTTAAAAATTATTATTTTAAAAAGCTCACATTTGTGAGAACTTGGAAAGTTCGCCAAATGATTTCCATCTTTTTGGCAGCGGAACTTGCTTGGCTAAAACAGAAAGTGAAAAAATAACAAGACAAAATGTTGCATTTATTTTGTGCATATGGAATTAGCAAAATAAAATTTAAAAAACTATAGAAGTGAGTTGACCTCGTTTCCAAAACTTGGTCCTGTTGTCGGGGAAACTTAGTTGAACGCAACTTGTCCGAAGTCTTCATAGTAGTTATCATAATTCCCAGCATCAGACGTGAGCTTGTCTCTTTCATGAGTTTGTAGTTTGGTGTGGAGAATGACAAGACTCACTAATGATGCTAACGAAACGTTTGAGAAAGTACCAAGTCCATGGTCTGGTGTTGGGAATTCTGAAAGCTACTATCACAGAGGGCTTCGGAGAAAGCGCGCTCAGCTAAGTCGCCTTGACAACAAGATCAAGGTACGACAACGAGGTCAGCCCATTTCTATATATCAAAAGAAGAATGCAGCCATACCGAGGGCTACACTATCTTGGTATTTAAATCTTTAAAGTATCGATACTATTTCAAATTGATGGTTGGCAATATAGCCAAAAATAGACGTATATAAAGCCGCATTATCAAGCAAAGAGAAACTATGCTTTTAAATACACAACTGAATACAAAGCAAAATTGTTTTCACTGTATGGATGTCACATTCTGAATCCAATTTTAGTTAAAAATGCGAAATAGTTCATCTCTGTAATTGTAAAGTTTAAAATCAGGAGAAATTATAATCTAAAATAACTAATGGAGGTCGTTGAACCTTGTTTTCGCAACTTCGTCGTATTGTCAGGGAACGCACCTTGTCAGGAGTACATAGTATCCATGATAATTTGCTGATTCTGACTGCGGACTTGGTAGCTTCCCAGATATTTCGCTGGTATAGTAATCGGCATCTTCAGTGAGCCTTGTCGTATAAGCGATAAATGAAATCGATCTTTGGCCAATTGTCTGCAAAACAGTTGTGGTATTTCTCCTTCCATCCTCTATCCTATATTCCTGTAACGCACCTTCATAATCAATTTATTTATTGCTTATTTAAATCAAGATATGGTGCGCCAAGGACAGGAGAAATACCGCAACTATTCAGTAGACAATTGATCACTTGTCTCTTTGACGTGGTATAGTGTGAAGCCAAGAAGGTTGACTGACGAAGCAGACTAAAAGGCCGACGATATGTCTGCTAACGTATTAAGTTCATTAGTCGACTCAGGAAATTATCCTGGATACTATTGACGCCGGACAAGATGTGTTATTCTGGGTCTCCCTGAAAATACAACCAGGTTTAAAAAACGAAGTCAAACAACTTCTATGCAACGAAAGGAGATCACAATCATACTAAAGGCAACATCATATTAGTATTCAGAGCTTCAATCAAAATAACTATTAGTGAAAGGGCTCAAAGGGTAAAAGCAAGAACTAAGAGATGTGTTGATATTTTTAAAATGATGAGTCTGATGCTCATTTTATAACGCAGCTGTTAAAAAAATTAACAAAAACATTGGACGACCTGAAATTAAACAAAGTTAATTATATAGATGGAATCGACTTATATCGATGTTTGAATATGAGAAAAGAATGTGAGAAATTGGCTTATTAAGGTATAAATTAAGCAAAACAAATATATCAGGCCTAATAATTTAAATCCGCAGTTGTGAAAGTCGACTGCGTAATGTTTTAAAAATTAAAGAAAATTACCCAAGTGAAGCGAATAACTCGTAGGCATCGATGAAAGCCGTTTTTCGTTGTGAAGCTAGAAGCTAAAACAAAGATGGGAAGTAGAAGTTTTCGAACTATATATCAATAATGAAAGTAAATAAGTCGAGTGCTTACATGCTTGGTTTTCGATGTCCAAAGTCGCAAACTCCTGCAGAGTAAAATTTAATTAAATGGGAAGAAATAGAAAAAAGAAAATATGTCAAGAAAAGTTTGGTTTCGAGGAATCTCTTGATTTGTAATTATTAAGCCCACTTAAATTTCAAATGAAATTGTTGGGCGAAGATAAGCGAAATTCGATCCCATCAGAAGGCGATGTCGGATTTATCTTGGCTAGTTGTCGATTGGCTTTGCTGGAAGATTCTTGTTGACTCTATTTACAAGGTAATCTTCTTCGATTATATTGAAATTCTGCTATTTTTTCTTCCGTTATATGACTGAAACAGCTTCATCAAGAATGCCATAGTAAAGCCAATTAACTGCTGGTCAAGAGGAATCCGACGTCGTCTACTAGAGGGATCGAATTTCGATTATCTTCACAACACTTTTACCCGAAATGAAGGTGGACTCAACAAGACAAGATATGGTTAGAGGCTATGTGACTAATAAAATTGAAAGCGAAGATAATAATATAAAACAAGATATACATATATATATAAAGGTAAGCTAACTTACTCATCAACTTCTAGATAGACATAAAGTGCTATGTCAGTTTTCTGATGTAGACGTCGGCAACAACGTAGATAAGAAGAGTCTCGGAGATTGTTACGGGCAGCAAAAAACGTGAAAAGAAGAGGATATATACTTGGTAATAGGGCTCCTAGGGCAATATCGAGGAGAGTGATTGAACTGTAACAAAAAACGAATAATAGAGAAAAAACACAGCTGTAATAAATATATTCGAGAAAAATGTCTAGTATTTAGTATAAAAGTTCGGAAAACGAAAATTCCAAGTGGCAATAGAACCAGTAACAGATAAACATTGAAAGTTTTATGCCAAAACTATGGCATCTATATTGCTCGCTTTCACAAATAATTGGATCAAAAATGGAGAATAATCCAACATAAGATATGCAGGCACCGATTTCCGCGGTACCAATCCTACCTACATCAAAATAAGAATAAAAAAGAGGCGATGCCTAATCCTTTGTGTAAGTTATATTTCTACTTTCCTAACAGAAATAATTTGATAACTAGTTATTCTAGATAAAGATACTAATTTAAAAAGTACGATAATTTAAGACATTGATAAGCAAAAGACAGAGCCGATAGGCAAATTTAGGATTTAGACAAAATAAACTAGTATGAGGGTATTTCGAAAAGTTGAAAGGTGCTGAGCGAGTATTGTGATTTTGTCCTAGTTATGATTAAATACTTGACTTCGGAAAAGCCATTGACGTGTCATGTGCAATGTGATTGGGGCAATCAGAAATTCATCGAAATTGGAGGATGGAGTAATGAGAAGCATACTAAATCAATAAGTAAAACAAATAAAGATAATCTTCCTTATGTTTAAAGTAAAAACAAGACACGAATACTTGCACCCAATTTTTTATACGAAATAGCAAAGTGAAATTGGATTTTCGGTCTTTTAAACGAAATGATAACATAGATAAATTATTTAAGTAAAAAGTTTTGGATGAAAGGGAAAGGTTATGAGAAAACTAATCGTTTATGTAAAAATAAAAATAATGTTGTGTCAAATGCGTAGTTCGCAGTTTATCGTAGCTGCTTTCCCTTTCAATAAAGCTTATATCAAATGTAATAAGTCCAGAGTCCATAATGGGAAAATAGCATGGTAATTATTTAATGGCTGACAATATCACCAAGTTGTGAAAACGAGGTTAAACCAAATCAAGTTCATACGGTTTCATAACTAAAAGCCACATTATAAATAATGAGGGAATATAAAGGATCTCCATTTATAAAGAGAAGAGTGCTAATTAGGCACTGAACTAAGGCCACCTTCTATTCGAAAGCCTTACTGACAATCGAGTTAATTAGCTCTGCATCGTATTCGCAAATGAATTACAGATAGTAGTTTTAGAAATAAAATCAGGGGCTACCCAGTCATGCGAACTTCTGGAAGAAGGAAAAGCATGGTCTCCCGCGGCGGCCCTTCTGGAGAAACATCGGGAGTATTTACTTCCGGTTGCATATCACAAACCTATAAGAAGAAAATAATTAAAACACAAAAATAAAAACAGATATCGAAGCAAAGTGCAGATAGTATTTTATGTAATCGCAACGATACACTAGATGAAGTGATAATAAATATAAATTAGAGGCCGGAAACATGGAAATGTAACAAATACCTACAAGTCATAGTGATTCAACCAAGCAATAGCAAATTAAAAGTTCAAGGGTAAACCGCATTATAGGATAGTTTAGACTTAAACTCACACAGTTCTTTGATATAGCAACTTATCAGATCAAAAGATATTCTAAGTCACAACGTTTGAAAAACGGTAAGGCTGCTAAATAAGTGTCATGTCTGACTGAAACTAATACTCCTATGTTGACCAATAAAAAATAAGTATTAAATTATCACTCTCAGTCATTCCAAATGGCCAACTGGTGTGGAGTGGAATACAAACAAGATCTATAACAAAAATGTAATGTTCTACGTTAAAATTATAATAATTTATCTAATTTAAGCTGAAATTATTTATTTAAATTATGTCTGAGGGACATAAATTTACGTAAAATATTTTTAGATGGATTTTAAAAACATGATTTTACTTTAGCAATCAACTTTATCATAGAACAAAGTTTAGGATAAGTCTGTTAGGACTAAAAAATTTAGAAAATTAAAGACTAATGGTTTGGGAATAAACTCGCTGGCATTAGTATTAGATTGAATCTCTTCAGTGGTAATTTGTGTAAAAAAGGAAAAGAATTGATCCTAAAATCAAGTAGATGAGAGCTAAGGCTGGATAGAAATTATGACTTAATAGGTACAGAGGGAAAAGTAACTAAATTCATGCATGGTAAAAGAATCAGGAAATTTTGGTATATAAGGATATGAATAATATTCCATGATCATGAAGGTAAAACTTCAGATCCCTCTTTTCTAGACAGGTTACACCAGTCAAAGTGGTCTAATGTAACGAGTAAAGCAAAATTCATAATAGTGCAATTAGTGCCTTAACACATAAATTAAATGAAACATAGCAAGCGAACCTGAATGGGATATGTCAGGCAGACATCGCCGGCCAAAAATACGGCTTCCATTGCTGCATCGCGACATTGCCTGAATTGAGAGGGTACCTTTTGTGATAAGACATCATTAGAACGATCATAACTATTCCTACCACCATCAGTGCCCTCAGCATCCTTATCGCCACTAGAGATACCCTCGGCGTTATCCTCATCTTTATACATTTCGTTAGAGCCTTCATTGAATCCAATAACATCTTTGGTCATATCAGACAACTCGCCTTTATGAAGACAGGAACTAGAAACAGCGGGCGAAAAAGTTGCTGTGGTTAGAGTTTTAGAAGAAATCTGTCCAGAATAGAAAGAACCAGCGGACAGTTGGCGTGCCCTCGAGAGCAGGCAGTATAAGCAATTAGCCAGACAGGCAGCCATAAATGCAGTTTCAGAAAGAACGGTCTCTAAGAGGCGCTCATGAGCCAAGCGGGCTGTCGGCCCCACACCTAAGTAAGCTAAATGCAGTCCTGCAGATAGGCATGTGGCAAGTACACGCAACCAGCCTATGCTCGAGGCTGAGAAGTGGTTGGAATCAGATATAGTCAAGGATGCAGTAGAGGCAGCAGATGAATCACCAAACGAGATGTAGCCAGTTCCACTACTACTACAACTAACGCCACTAGTATTGCCGATGTTACTTGCGTAAGTGGAATTGCTGCAACCAGTTTGAATAGAGATAGGATGAGATTGAGTAGTGGAGTAATGCTCAGGTGGTCTTTGCTGCAGTTGATTGAATATGTGTGAGGGCTGGAGGCGGACACGGTGGTGCCAGTCGAGCATTAGTGCATCAATAGAAGAGACAGCAGCACCACCTAATTCGGCTGGATAAAGCCAGTAAATAAGATCATTCAGCAAATCGAAGAGGAAGGGACAGTTGGCTGAAATTAGGAATCATGATTGAAATAGAAGATGAAGAAAAGACGACATTTTTAATTCATTAGCCAATTAGATAGATGGACAGACAAGGATACTGGTCTCAAAAGTGAAGTAATTTAATTTTTCAGATGGTGATATAAAAATTAACTAAAAGATACATGCTTTGCTAAAATAAATTAATTTCTACTCGACATTTCATTTCGAAGGAAAAGTTAGTTGGAAGGAATTCGTGATGTTGTCTTACCAAAAACCGAAATAGAATTCCCACGAAATAAAGAGTACCGGATTGTCGAAGAAGTCGTCAACTGACCCCGATTAACCAGTGATAAGCTTTCATCGGTATTGCGACAGACATCATCAGAACAACAATCCATACTTTACCAAATAGAGCAAAAATATACTAAACTAAGAGAACAGGTGGCTGGCTGCAACCCTAATCGCTTTTAATACCTATCCCTATGATCTAAATAAGATATTCTATGCTTTCTCGATAGCCTCA